CTCTGTTCCCGCCTAAATACTGACTTAACTTGTGTTTGCTTCTGTCAAGAGTTACTTCAGCCTTTCCCCTCCACGCTTACCTCTATATGAGTACCACAGCAAGGACAAGACTTGGAGTTCTTTTCTAGCCACTCTTTACTCTCCATCTCCTCAAGGGCTTTCTGAATCACTCGTTTGCCATAGCGTTGTTCCAAAAATCTTTTAGTTGCCTCATCTGCTTCTAAATATTCATTTCGCAAATCCATTAATTTCTCTGGGGAACAAAACAAAACAAAAAACCCAAACAAAACAAAACAAAAGAGCTTTTGTAATGTATTATATAAAGAAGTCCAGCTAATAACAGCATAAAGTATTCTCAAAAGAAACAAACGTTAATTAATGAATTGACAAGCGTTAATTAAAAAGCAAGTAAAACATTAGAATACATAAGCAAAAGCTGACAGTGTTAAATCCCCCTACCTCAAAATTCAACGGCTTTAGACTGTTTCATTATAAAAGAGACCAGTTGATGGAATTCGAACAGGTCTACCATGTCAAATAAATTGAAAAATTGAAATATTTTTTCTAAGAATACATTTAATGAATCTTCGTCACGGGATTTTGAGGCCAAGCAGTCAGAGGAGCATCCACCTGACTCCTGTGTCAACTCTGACAACAGAAAGTAGTGGATTCATAGGAAAAGGTAAAAAAAGGCGCACACAAAATTACTCTTCCCCTGCTGTGGCCTCTCAGCATTTGGCAGTCAGCAGTTTAGGGGCCTCCTGAGCTGTGCAAGGTCATCAAAGGACTAATTTTTAATAGCTGGCAACAGACCTACTCCCAATGAATCTGTCTGATCTTTTGGAAAGCTCACGTGGTGATGAGCTTCCTGGCTTAATTTCTGACTTTCTTTTTTTTTTTTCACACAAAACCTAATTGCTTCCTGACGCAGTTCTGAAAGACGACGACTCACCTGCGGTGACTTTACATGGAGAGACCCCATGGTAAGTCATTTTACAGAGAGTACAGAAAGCATAGTTGCAGCAGGAACATATGCCCATGGTGCAGCCTGGTTCTTGCATGACTGGCGTCTGACAGCCCGGGCGAGGGCAATACACGACATCCGCCATCAGGTCCAAGCTAGACTGCAGAAGCAGGCGGTCGTAACGCGCAAACAGCTGCTCTCCAACCAACTCTTTAACCTAAACCAAGGTCAAAGACAGATCACATGCATCTGACGTTCTGAGCCTGCCAGCTTCAGCAAAAAACAGCAAGTCAATGGAAAAGTACCTATGGCTGGGATGAATCCACTTTCTATTCTCCAGCAGCTCATGAAAATACTCCTAGAAATGCTATTTTAATAGTAATTCATCAAACGAAAAGCATGCGGTGTCAAACGCAATGGGACCCTGATTCAGGCCTCTGACCAATGCCAGTACCAGCAGAGCTGGCAACGCACGTGCCTTCTGGCCCACCTTTAGCTCTGATGCCTCTGCGTGGCTCGGGGTATGAAAAAACCTTCTGCAGGCCTATTCCCAGTGCTCACCAGAAAGAGCCACGCCTTGTCTTCTGCAGTTATCGGTAAGTCAGCAGAACTCTACCATCACTGCTCGCACACTCGTATTACCTGGCCAGGAGTGGCAACAGAAGAACACTTCGGCTCTGGGCAGTTGAGACAGTGGACCTGGCCATCCCTGATCTGTATTTCGAAGTAGTCCTTCAGGCACGCTTTGCAGTACACGTGGCTGCACTCGGTGAAGTACATACACTCACTGCCCAGCTTCTCACAGAAGCAGATATTGCACAAGTACATCTTACTGTTAAAGCACTTCCTCCTCTGAGCCTGATCAAAGTCCAAGATCTCCCTGATCAGACTCGACAACGATTCCACATCCTGCACAGCCCTCGCGTCGATGACTTCTTCTTCAGCTGCGGCAGAGCCTGCTGCACCGTCACAATCCTTCTCAGCATCGGGAGGGATCAAAGGCGTCCTGCTCTGCCCACTCCCTTGACAGCACATTTTTAGCTCATATGGGGAGGAAATATTCAGGTAACTCAGCGTTTCTTCCTTCAGAAACTGCATCCAGGCAAATAAGACCACGCAGCCTCGATTCTCTTCCCACACGTTGTCTAAATGTTTGCAAAGAGCACTGAGCTGGAAAAGAAAGACAATTCCAGGTTTCAATAAGTTGTGATGACTCGTTACCGTTTTCCTCCCCCGTGGTCCTCCTCAGTGCATACTTAGATTTCAGACTCTGGAGGATTTATATATAGATAAAACACGTATCAAAGTAATGGTTGCAGGTGCAAGCTTTCACTCCTCAGAATGGCGACCAAATAAGAACAAATATGTGACAGGAGAAGAGCCAACTGAAAGAGCAATGTAATCGTTTAGGTCTTAATTTTACTTTTGTCTATGGCCTTCACATCCCCCAGAGCACCATTAGTGACAAACTTACTTGTGATCACAAAAGCTCTGCTAAAACACTAAAACTACTCTGCAAACCTGGGCTTGGGAGAGCCATTTCCCACTGAGGGTAAACGCCGGCGGGGAGGTGGACGGGTAGTCTGGTGGCAGCTCGAAATTCAGCACCAGGGGAGGCAGGAAGCAAACGGTGTATTCAAAGCCGTTGCTCTGGAGGCTCTCCGTGGAACTGCCTGAATCGAAGGGAATTGAGACAGTCTGAGAAACAACAAGAAAATGAAAACTAATGAACTGTAACTGTTTATGACAGATAGCTCTTTTCATCTGATAGACTTCTGGGCTTAAAACAATTTATTCAACTCTAAACAACAAAACTCTTCAGTGCAGTAAAATGTCACGGGGTTGTATGCATGCGGTTACATCAGTGAGCGCCACTGCTGTGGAATACCAGACCCTGCACAAACCAAGAACCTGGAGGACATACCCTCAAGAGGGGAAAAAGAAAAAGAAAAAAGAATTTAATTATTCCAAAGCAATACTATTACTCACCTCTAATTTTAAAGTTCACTGAGGAGGTTACGTGTATGAGGATGCAATCACCCCCTCAGACGCAAACCCCAGCACTGCCCCAGGCACCGGGGCAGCCACGGCTTTAGCACTCCCACAGCTCGCCGGAGCAGAGACCACCTCAGCACCTACCTGAAAATTACCTGGGTAAAAACCAATTTCAGGATAACGCAAGGCACCTCAACTCACCACTCACAAAAACTTTGAAGTTTTGGGGCAACTCCAGACAAATTCTTGTTTCTCCTCCTTGGGCAGACTCGGCTCTCTTAAACTCATCTTCATCGTAGATGCTAGCCAAAGCCAGCAGCTCGTCCTCCTGAGCTTCTTTGTCTTCTGAAGACATTTAAATTTTCTGCGGAGTTAACAGCACTCTACGAGATCAATCACGTTAACGCTTCCTATTCAAATTATTAGTTTGAGGTAGCTGTGTTATACTACTGTAGGAAGATTTAGAAATGCGAGTAACTGACAGAAAACAATGTGTAATTACATAATTAAATAATATTATATAGTTATATATAATTGCATTTAATTAAGCTTTTTTGCAGGTTGGGAAAATATTGGTAGCTTTATGAAATAAAAAAACACCCTAACAGAGTGTGGAAAGTCAAAAAGCAAAGTGTTAGCGGCTAAAGACAGCTGTAAGGGGGAAAAACAGTGAAACGCGCCGACGGCAAGTGACAGAGGGGCATTTCCTTAACGTTTGGAAGGGGAACAGGGT